GTTGGGGCCCAGCCGGGGTTCCTCAGCCACCCCAGCACTGCCATTCTGGGGCCTCGGCGCTCTCACAGGGTGAGAGTGTGAGGTGTTTTGCACTGTGGAGGCCTGAGGCCTGGCCCCACCTTACCCATGCCTGCTGGGTGGCACTGGGCCAGCCACTGTCCCTACCAAGGGGCCCTGCTCAACTCTGAGGGTCCTGGTCCAGTGGGACCCGTAGCCTGGGGCCAGGAGTGTCACCTTGGATGATGACCCGAGCCCCTGACCTGGCTTCTCTAACAAGTCTCTTTGTGCCCCCTCCCCTAAGATGACCGGGGAGCTCAGAAGCAGCAGTGCCAGTAAGTGCTGGCGTGACAGGAATAGTTGGCCATCATTGATCAAGCATGGCCCCTGAGTGATGCTTGCACCTGGCTGTGGAAGCTGCCTGAGGAGGAGTAACTATGGGTGTGTCTGTGGCCCCCAAGTGGCCCCTGGGGCCCAGGGAGGCTGGGTAGCCCCCCCTTAAGTATCAGGCAATCCTCCCTCCCTCCTTTGGCTAAAGGAATGGCCACCAGCCAGGCTGATCCCCACCAGCCCCGACCCCCTGTACACTCCCCACACAATTACTGCCTCCCCCGCCCGGGGCCACTGTTATCAAGGGACATTCCTGGGCAAGAGAATGTCCCTCAAAAGGGTCTCACTCCGCCCTTCTGAGCATGATGGTGGCTGATAGGCTGGAACCGCCCACCGGATGGGCCTGGGACATGAGGCTACAGACCCAGGCCGGCCGATTTGGCCCCGGTGCTATCTCATTAGGCCAGCAGTTCCACCTCTCTGTGCCTCTGTTTGCTCATCTGCAAGTTGGGGCCACATACATAGTGGTGTCAGGATTCCCCTGGGCTCATGCCGGCAGATCAAGGCCAGGGAACTATTTTTCTGCTCAGGGCCGTGTGGTTACTTATACCATCTTACACAGCCCATACAATCGTATTGGCTTAAAAATTAGCCGGCTGCATTTGACCATTTAATTAACTCACCCTTAACCGGACGGCTGGACCGGCTTCTCTTTCGTGATGTTAGCTGGCCCTGATGATGCTCCAGCCGGCCTGACCTTCCCCACCCTGGTGGACAGGGCGTTCTTTGCAGGCGACCTGACTCATGGGGGTCCCTGCCCATTACTGCCTCAGAGTCAATCCCAGCTCTTGGCGACCCCTGGGACAGAGTAGCACTGCTCCCTGGGGTTTCCGAGGCTGTGAATCTTTACCAGAGCAGGCAGGCTCATCTTTGTTCTGTAGAGCAACTGGTGGATCTGATGCCCACCTTGTGGGTAGCAGCCCTGAGCCCTGTGCTTACCCCACAGGGCCACCAGGGCTCATGGCCCATCCACAGGCAGTGGTTGTTATCTGACCCTCAGTTGTCCTTCCGTTCTGTGGCCCTTCCAGTTTAGACGGCACATCAGGAAGGACCCTTGTGAACTGTCTGTTCTTTTGGCCTATGGAATGTGAGCGGAAGGAGAGTCAGGAGGAGGGCGCCGGCTGGGTGTGGACTCGGACAGGCCCGCGCCCTCTTGGAGCCTCCATTTCTGGCTCTGTGAGCACTTGGACCTGGGCGAAGCTCTGTCTCAGACCCTCTGTGGTCCCCACTACTGCTCGCTTGTGATTCATCCCTTGGCAGATTTACCCGTCTGGCTTTTGATTGTCTCTTAAGGAGTCCCCGTGGCGCTGGTGG